AATAATGTCCGTCCGAAAACACCTCTGCACACCCCGGCGACAAACGAACATGTTTCTTGATCAACTGATGAACAAAATACGCGCGCCGAAAGTCAACCAAAAGGAAGCTTGTCCAGCAAATTGTGGCACAAAATAATTAGACGCCATTAAATTTTTGCCAAAGGCGACCACCAACGCTGGAAATTATTGTGAAATTTACAATTTTACTCACTTTCGTTGCCGAATTCATGGCGTATCCTTAACTTTATTTCCTAAGTATATTTTGCGAAAACAAAAAAAGTCCGCTTAAAAATTTTTTTACGATGCAGTTGCTGTCAAATTTTGGCTATAGCAAATGTCAAATGCGGAGTCACGTAAGCTATTCAGCGCATCGGTTGGCGGTGACATCTGTTGGTATAAATATGCAATAGAAAAGTAAAAATTTATCGGATAAATCAGTTCGTTTAATTAATATTTAGAACAACTTTTTGGGAAAACAGGATAAAAAGGAATACATACATAAGTATATCGAAGCAGCTTATAATCTCGCAATCAGTTGAATTTTTGATGGAAAAACTGAAAACAGCTGTGTATTCACGTTCTCTGCCTGACAAACAGTGCTGCCCAGTTAGCAATAACTCCACACATAGTGCTGCCATGTTTGATCGTTGGCGTGGGCTTGTCAATTTATTTGGATTTTGGGAATTTTGTGGTATTCGATTTATGTATGTATGTATGTTTTCGATGTTTCTGCAAAACCGCCCATCGACCAGTTGCAAAACCGCCTGAATCGCCGTTGTGGCAAAAATGAGATTTGGTAAGCCTGAACTCCAAGCATCGTATGCATAAAAATCGTTAAGAGATTTGTAAAATAATAGCTAGAGAAAATACCGCTTAACAAGGCAATGCCTTCGAAGAATAAATCGTTTTGTCGCTCTCCTGTAAAATTTGAGTGCCGTAAGATAGGCGGTTTTGCAATTGGACGATGGGCGGTTTTGCAAAAACATCGCCGATATGTATGTGTACAGGGCCCGAAATGCACTGGCAATATTTTCCTTCACATACTATATTATAATCCCTCCAATTATTTCTGTTAAATTTCTTCAGCTTGCTCTTAAAATATATGTATGTATGTACACTGCCGGAACAAAGTATTGGCACAGCATATTTTTCACAATATATGCAACAATTTTCATTCTAATACTTTTCCGCTAATTTCGTATAAAAATATGGTTCATTCTACAACAAAAAACATAAAAGTATAATTCCTAAATTTTGTGCAAAACTCGCCCAAATTCAGCAAACTTTAGTGAAAATTTTCGATTTTTTAGTATTTTTTTTTAGTTTGCAGATTTGTGGCCCAATTTTATTATAATGAAGTGCAAGTTTTAAGTAGCTAGGAATTACCGTTGATTTTTGACAATTTTTCTTACGCAGTCTCTTCCATACAAAATTTTTTTTTCGAAAATACTTTATATGGAAAAAATGCAAAACACCTTCAAGAAAAAAAAATCTCAAAAAGCAGACTAACTCTGAACTTGCATTTTTTTTACTAGAATTTAATGGGCTAAATTCTAAAAAATCTGATCAAAAAGTTGAAAATTTGCTGAATTTCCGCGAGTTTTGCACAAAGTTTAGGAATTATATTTTTATCTTTTTTGTTGTTGAATGAACCATATTTTTATACAAAATTGGCGGAAAAATATTAGAATAAAATTTTTTGCATATATTGTGAAAAATTTGCTGTGCCAATACTTTGTGCCGGCAGTGTACATGTATGTATGTATCAATTTTATTACAATAAAGTGCAAGTTTTAAGTAGCTAGGAATTACCGCTGATTTTGGGCAATTTTCGTTCACGCAGTCTCTTCCATACAAAAAATGTTTTTCGAAAATACTTTATATGGAAAAAATGCAAAACACCTTCAACAAAAAAAAATCTCAAAAATCAACGCGATCCTTGACTAACTCCGAACTTGCATTTTTTTTACTAGAATTTAGTGGGCTGCAAAACTGCATACTCAAAAAAATTCTAAAATATCTGGTGAAAAAGTTGAAAATTTTGATGAAAATTTCCTGAATTTTCGCGAGTTTTGCACAAAGTTTAGGAATTATATTTTTATGTTTTTTAATATTGAATGAACCATATTTTTATACAAAATTATCGGAAAAATATTAGAGTAAACACTTTTGCATATATTGTGAAAAATTTTCTGTGCCAATACTTTGTTCCGGCAGTGTACTTTCCACAGGGACAAATCACATTATGCCAAACTTTTACTAAGAATAACAGTCTTTATGCTTATTTCCGCTATAATTTCAATGCCTTGTCGAAATTCGTTATTATACTTGGCTTGAAAGATTTGCTGACAAAATACCTCGCACAAATGTCCTGTTATGCCAATCAAACAAAGGTGCGAAGATGCCCAAAACATACCTACAACAGCCGGTTCTACGCATCGGAAATAGTCGGCATTTACCCGAACGGGGGGTGTTGGTCCGGCGACCTAACCCTGTTAAGAAATACGAACCCTACCTATTGTTGCTATGCATCGTTCCGCTACGGGCATGCATGTTGCTCTATTTCGGATCAGAGACTTATTTCAGCTTCCGCTCTTCGATTTCATTATTTCACTTCGATGAAACTTTTGTAAACGATGGATGTCACAGAGTGCGTGCACCACAAGGTACTTATGTTGCTCACGATATATGTCACCCTCTCCCTTCACAGGCTCCGCGCAACGGTCAACGCGCCAGTTAGAAGCAAGCACATAACGAATCCTTGCTAAACAAGGCTATGGTAGGCAACTCTACTTGTATCTTGCCTTCCGTATCGCGTCCAGCCACCCAAAGCATACGAAACTCGTACAATCCAATTACAATGGACTCCAGAGAACGATCGATCCCATGAAGGGTCGGTATGGTATATTTATGGCTGCGATCCAAGAAACGATAGCACCACACTGTGCAATAACGTCTCATCGATGAGGACATCTATGTATTTTAGGGATACAACTCTAGAATGTCAAGGCCTTGCTATCCGAACACCACGAGTTTTGGCACAGACAGAGCACATAGACTATTCGGCATTCAGCACCAACACCAGGGATCCAGATATCAGGGATCTCAACTCAGAGATTCGTAAGCTGGTAAATCAACATAAGCGGAGGAAGTGGAAAGAGTACTGGAAGACCTGCAACTTCACCTATCATGTGAGTGAGACTTGGTCTACTGCTAGATCTTCATCCGACATGGAGAAACGCGATAACAGGGCTTCATTTTAATCCATGTCGCATCCATCATTCTTGACGTTTGAAAGTCTCGGAGATTAGTCCGTCTACTAAAACTCGGGAAATCAACCAAGAAATGTAAATCTTATCGGTTGTATCCACGTAAGTAGTATATTTATGGCATATGGTTTGCTGTTTGCACCGGTCCAGAACCGTTATACGGTTTGCTGGTGCTCTGCCGCAAGCTTTGCTGCTCCGCCAAAAGATGTCGCCGATCGTAATCCAAGTACAGAACCCAGATAAAAGCCGCAAGATATCGCTGGTGACAAATCTGAGTCCGGAACCGGGACCGATCACAGGGTGTTCCGCTGATGGAAATCCGAGAAATCCGATACCATTCAGAACCGGAATCGATCACAGG